GCATGTCCCATTCCACTGAAGAACAAAAACAAAGTGACAGAAGCTATTAAGGGATCTGCTTCACTGAATGCAACGATACTAGTAAAAATTGGAGAAACTTTTAAACCTGGATTAAGAGCAGACGCAGCCATGTCCCTCCCAGCACCATGATGACCATGGGCAAAGCAAAAAGTCAGTTTGAGATGTTTAAAGTTTGGACCCATGGTATGATGCTGAATTTACTATTAGCTCGGAGTGGTTTAAATGATTAAACCGTTTGTTATTCATTACATAATGTGAAAGTGAGTGGTGTGTCTGCAAGGGCTTATGTGAACGCAGCTGAAGAATTTTTGGAAACTAGATAAGCTGATTATGGAGAAAAATTACTTTCCAGACCAAATATTCAATATGGATGAAACCTCCTTATTCCGGAAAGGACTCATCCATAAGGAGACCAAGTCAATGCCAGCTTTCAAGGCTTTTAAAGACAGGGTAACAGTCCTGCTTGGGGGCAATGATGCAGGCTACACATGGACACCCTTTGTGATCTGGCACAGTGAGAACCCAGGGCCCTTAGCCTCTTTTCTAATATAATATTTAAGACAACAGATCTCCATAAGCACATCTTTAGCTGCATCCCACAAATTTATATATAGTCTTTTCATTATTAAAAATCTTTTCTAATTGTATTTGGATCAATAAATTGTAGATGACGTAGGTGCTAGGAGGCATGAAAGAACAGTCCTCAGCATTTCTTAAGCAGCTGCTTATTATCTCCATTTTATAGAGGTGCAAACAGGTTCCTGGAGTCCTTATACTGATAGTAAAGAGAGATTTTCTGGGAGGTGAGAAGGCTATTTGGGAGAAGCCTGATTTGATTTGCCAAATATAATTAATGTAGCAAAAAGATTAGTCCTGCTCTAGCCTNGCCGGCCCTCAGTGTGTATTTCTTAAGAACAAGAATATTATATTCTACATAAGCACAGTTCAGTGATCAAATTCAGGGTGTTTAATATTGATATAATGCTTTTATCTAATGTATAGTCCATGTTTCAGTTTTGTCTCTAATGTCCTTTATAGCATTTTTTCCCCCGTCCAGGATCACATATTGCATTTAGTCTTAGCTAACCTGGAACAGTTTTTTAGCCTTTGTCTTTAATGACACTGAATAATTTGAAGACTACAGACCAGTTATTTTAGAGACTATCCCGCAATTTTGTTAAATTCTTTCAACCATTATATTTTACTACTTTTTAATCCTAGTTGAGCTGAATCAAGGAGGGATGTAGTCAAAATACAGATTAGTTTTTGCCTTCTTTAAGCTCTGAGTGTTGTTAACCAATAACCAATAGTTATTGGTTAAAATCGGTGATGGTTTTTTATGTTAATTATCTATGGCTTTTAATTAGCAGTACTGTCTCCCATTAGTTGCTCATTATCATGGGTCCCCTAGAGTCAGCTGGTTTGTCTGGTTCCTTTTGCCTCTCAGCAGAATTTTTTTTGGACCTGTTTTCTCATCTCTGAAATATTAGACTCCCATCTCTAAAATCTAAAGTATTAAGTCATTTGATCACTTAATAATTTTAATCCAGCATTTAAGAGATTGACTTGTGATAATGTTTAACCAAATTTTGAAGTTTGTTTTATTGTTAAATTGTCTTTTCCTTTTTTTTAGGAATCGCTTCATGTTTGGCTGTTTTCTCAGCACGAATGAAATAGCATTTTCTGACCCAACACCAGATGGCAAGTTATTTGCAACCAAGTACTGCAACACCCCGAATTTCCTTGTATACAATTTTAATAGTTAAAGCCAATTTCAACTATAGAACAGTTACTATGTCAATGAGTTCAGACAGCCCCTTATCATATAAGAACCATTTAACAGCTATCAAAATTAAAATATTGAGACACACACCACATACACAAACCTGCCTGTTTTGTTCCTTATGAATTAAAAGTCAGGGATGAATTTGTTTCAAGTTATGTGGCGAGTCAAACAAAGGGAAAATCTTTGGATGACGTATACTGACTAGCACTCTGAATCCTTAATTACAAAATGTGTAGCTATAACTAGAAAATTACTTGCCTGTTATGTAAGAACAATGACAAAGCAAGGTGGTTTTCCACAGAAATGTGACCACTTACCTTTTATACAGCACCTTTGGACCAGGGTTATCTTATGCTCCATCAGAAGCAAACAGGAAAATTAAAAGACAAATAATCTCCATGCCCAATTTTTAAAGGTAATTCCTGAATTCTGTACACAGAAGTCTCACCTTTATAGGTAGCAGCTCAGTTTGAATGTATTTAGGAAGTGTTTTGAATTTCTAGTTTGCATAATAGGGAAAAATGGCAAAGAATAAGATTTCCATATCCTTTTATGTACAATAGAATTCTATAGCTTGTTTTCATCTTTTTAAAAATATTAATCAAAAGCACAGCTGTCACCAGTTTTAATTAAAATTAGTAATTGCACTACTGTTATTTTATT